GCCCCAACAATTGAAAGCATCTCTGCCTCCCTACGCTCATATCGCGGCCATCTATCCAGGGTAATCAACTCCGCCAAGAAGTGCATCTCCGACTTTACTGATTCCCAGGATACAAACTATCTCCTCGATAAGAAAGAAGATATACGAAAATACTTCAAGAAGATCGAGGCCCTTACCATCGCGATTCAAGAGCTAGATGCGCCCAACATCCCCAAATACGACAACGAATTGATCAAGGATGAAGAAAGGACCGACGAAATCATGCTCGCCTTCTCGAAAGCTGCGAAATCCGTCTCCATTCCCACCGCTGAGCAACGAAGATATCCCGGCCCCGCTTCCCGCCGCATCAACGACGCTCTCAAGCCCTCCGTCCTTTCAAAAGACGCAAGTCCAATCGAGATGCGATATTGGGTGGATTCGTTCAAGTCCTATTACACATCAAACGACATGGACAGTTTTACTATTTTAGAAAAACAATCCTACTTCAAAACTTTGTTGGATACGGACCTCAAAACCAGGATCGTATCGAAAATGGCAGAAGACACCGACGTTTTCGGCAAAGACGGTTGCATTGACATCCTCGAAAACGACTTTCTCGCTCGCTATCCTCTATTCTCCCGGCGTCTTGATTTCTTTCAAAGCCAACAGCGTAACGGACAGACTTTTACTGATTTCTTGGCCAACCTCAAGGAGCTGTCGAAACTCGCCGACCTTGACAAACTATCCGTCGAAGAGATGTTCGTTTTTTGTGCGCTTCGAGGCACCACGGACACGGCCCTTCTTGATGACTTTCTGGAACTACAAAATAAATCACTGAAGGACATAGAAAACGCTGCTAACATCTACGAAAGTAAACTGGTTTCGCGATCAAAATTGAACAGAACGCCGAAAGAAAGCAACATAATGAAAGTCTCTACTCCAAATCAACGTCGCAACGTAAGACAAAGGCCAAAACAAGATTTCAAGCCGGAGCCCGCCCAAGCCAAACCGCAACTCAAACGCCCAACAACCGTTCGAGAAATGAAGGAACGCGGCCTTTGCACCAGATGCGGCAAAAGTGGTCACTTACCCAACGAATGCTCATACGAAAGAAGCGTTGTTTGTAATCACTGCGGAATCACGGGACACATCGCCCCCGCTTGCATGGGACGTGGAAGGATCAACGCCATCCAATCGAACGAAAGGGACGCATCCCCATCTGCCAGTTCTTCCTTCTCCGATTGACGGTCCGGGGACTGGATTGAAACCGCCGTCTTCAATCTAAATAAAAGCCCCCGTATGAATGTTTGCGTTCAAGATGGCAAAAGCGAAAGCCAATTTACCTTTCAATGTTTAGCGGATACAGGGTCAGAATTTACTCTGATTTCCGAAGACCTTGTTACGCTACACAACTTCTCCACATCCCCCAACCATAACGTCAAACTGGTTGCCGCTAACCGGTCATCTTTACGTTGCGACAACAAAGTATGTGTGAC